AACCTGTCAGGTAACCGTATGTTATATAACTCTGATATAATACTACTTTTTTTTGCATCATCACAGATCCTCACAGGAGGTGAGAGGCTTCATACTGGCTATGAACTGACTGCTCAGAGGAGTTTTCCATCTATTGACTCCTCTGTAAAATCCTATGAAAGATGAACTTTCATTTCTACCCAGAAGAACTTTTACAATCTTTTCTCTGATGCCTGATGAAGGTTGTTTGTGCCCGAAAGCTTGCAATTAAAGAATTTTTTTTTTTGCAAAAATCTTGTTGGTCTGCTAAAAGATATCATCTCCACTACGAGTCCTGCCTGGCTTTTTAAAAATAATTTGGATCATTAATTAAGATTAAATAGTGTTATATCAGAGTTATATACCACACAGTTACCTGATAGCCCATATAGCCCATATAGTTGCAGGCTATATGTCCAAAGAATATTTCTCTTAACTTGTTTTCTATTCCTGAAATATAAGGTTATTTGCTGGAGCTGAAGCATAGTGATCTGTCTAGGAGCTCAGTCCAGGGTCTTCTAGTAGCTATCTCAGCATAATACTTGGGAGATGAGGATGAACCTCTATGTTTTCTTATCCAGATGGCCTCAGATTTCTCAAAAGCTTAGCTAAAGTGCCACTTCACCAATAGTGGAACATGAACTTTTGTCATACTTCTCATCTTTGATGAGGCAGTCATACAAGTTAATGATTACTTTTTCACTGGTTTCTCTTGTCCATGAAAATAGGATTCTTGGTGATGACTATCTCAACACCATGAGAAGCTGAGATCACTTCTAAAACCTCCCTGTACAATTTCTCTGTAAGTGACATCTGCTGGGTGGCCACATTAACCAAAGGGCCTCAAGGGATGGCGCCACATTTGGTGGGACAGTCCTCTACCTGCCACTTGCTCAGGGAACTCTGAAGCCCTCCTCAGGCACGTGTGGGCAATGCTTTGGATTCACTGCAACGCAACCACAAACAATACAAACACTTGCTCCCGGATATAACTTGTTTTTTTGACCTCAGCAACAGACTGTCGTGGAATTGAATTACACCACGGGCTGTTCCCCTGCAGACAGCATGGCAAGGGAATGACGTTTTTATTTAACAAAGGAAGATGTCATGCCTGCTGTGCCCTGGCATGTTCCTTTAAGCTTGTGGATATCTGAATTATTCTCCAGGTTTGTGAGACCCTCAAATGCAAACCTTACCCAACTTTAACACTCTTCCATCCATAATTAGTTGAAACTGTTTTCCTACATATGAATCACTCACAGAGAGCTCCATGGGCCAGAAAACATTGAGTACCACTGTTTTATATTAAAAACTCTTTGGGGAAGGTACTGTTTCTCACTGTATTGTACTGTACCTAGAAAATGGAGCCACAATAACTTTGGATACCTAGAGGTGGTAGTGCAATACCAATCAATGATAATCTCGATATTTTGCTGCTATTAGAGACCAGGGTGTGGGTGCTCAGGGACAGTCACCTGACACATGGATGTAATCTGGGGTCAGGTTCCCGGGGAGCAAGCTCAGCAGCAAGTAAATAGAAACCACCCTGTGTAATGCATAAGTAAATAACTGGCAAGTTTTGTCTCATTTTCTTTGGCTCTTGTCAAGAACACTCCTTTTACCAGTGACTTGCTAGACATTCCCTTTTCATTTTTGGCTCGTGATCTTACCCCTCCTTCCCTTTCTGTCCCCAAATGACCCACGTGCAATTTTTCATCATTCAGACTTTATATGAGAAGTTCCCCTTTCTTTTATCCTCAATAAGTGAGTTTTGATGCAATTGAGTTTCCTTTGGTTGAAAGAATCGAAACTCAGATGTCGTGTCCTGGAAAACCACGAAGACAGCAGTAGGAGGGATTGGTAGAGAAGCAAGAAGTAGTGCATGAAAAGACTTCTGGGGAAAATAATACAGAGAGGAAGAGTAGGAAAGGGAAGGGACTGAAAACAAGTGAAAGAGAAGAGAATTTGATAGGGAAAGGTAAAGGAGGAGGAGAAGAGAAAAAAAAGAAAAAAAGAATGACAACTGGAAGGACAAGTTATAATTCTTGAAGGAGACAAGACGGAACTGGAAGGGACAAGTGTCATGGAGTTCCTCAGGTGGGCAGGAGTTTCTGTGGTTCAAGTATGGCAAGGCAACTGCAGCTACATTTGACGCTCAGCATGTGTCACACACATTAACTGACAGGAACATATGTATAGCCCTCTCAAATATGTTTGGTCCAGCAGAATCTTGTACTGACTGCCCCAGGGGAACCTCCCAACCCAATAAAAATCTTCCTTGAGATCTTACTCCTCCCATGCTGCAATATGAAGCTTAGCACCTGATCTAGGTACGATGGGAACCTGCTGGATTTGTATACAGAAGGGTCTCCAACAAAGGTGATGAGGCCTTGAAATGGCTTTATAAAGGAGAATGGGAAATGCTTCTGCTAGAAAATCACTGAATACAGAGAATGACTCATGCTTTACGTAGCATGAGAAGGAGGAGGAGCATGGGAATTGTCAGCAAGAATTGAAAAATGAATGTGTCCCTAATCATCAGTGAGAACTAGGTTTTGATCCAAAGAGAAAGGTAACATGAAAAGTCAAAAACAGTCATTGTGTCAGTCACTTGGCTATGATCTGTATCCTGTTTTATAGAAAACAAATGACTAAAGTTATTTAAACAGGAAAACATGAATAGGAAAGATGCACCTGTATGTGGTAATTCAGTTAATTTTGGTGATTATGGTAGAGAACCCTTAAGTTGAAGAACTTCTCGATTCCCCAAGTGTCTCAAAATTTGAATATTGCTATTTTAACAATAAACGTTCCCTCACTCTGATTTGTGAATGAGGAAATTAGCATTTCTCATCTTCACCAGGGGAGCTGAAGTTTTCATGCCCTGAGCCTCTGCACCAAAGCTCTTTAGCCAAGTGAGTCCCACTCCTGGGGAGCTTGTAAATTCTCTAGGACAGCAACCAGCACCCTTTGTAAGCCTTGGGCTGGAACAATCTGGCTCCGGTCTGACCTGGGCCAGGTGGCTTTGATAGTGCAGCAGCAGCAGCAGGGGTCTTTTGTCTGCATCTGCATTGGCACTAGGCAGCCAGGAGCTGCACCCATGCCACTGCTGCTTCTCTCAGCCCCATGCTCCCAAGCTGTGGCGTGGATGTTGCTTCCAAGTGGTGGAGAACTGAGCCAAGGCTGGAGTGGACAGCTGGCAATGCTGCTGCCCCTCTTCTGCCCTCCTCTCTGCACCTCCTAGTTACAACATGGGTGAAGCTAGAAGCTGCATAGTGCCAGTGAATCACTACCCAGCCCCAGCTTGGTCACAGGCACAAACAAAGCCCTTCAGCTCTCTGGGTTTGTGGGATCCAGTCCTCAGGCCATATGTTGCTGTAGGCTCCTGAACATGGCACCTTTGTGAGTCATTCTTAAGGTCCAGCTTCAGGAAAGCTCTAAGAACATGCTTGTGCCCCGTTAAAGTCCCTGCAAAAAAGCAAGCTAAATTAAGCCCGTCTATTTTTGCCTAGTTCTTTGATCAACAGAGCAGCTAGCTCAAAACTGTTGTCTTCAAGTGCATTTTACTAACCCAGAATTTAACCGGCTCTACAGGCAGCCGTGGCGGTGTTGGAGGCAGGGGAGGGGATGGCAAGCACCAACCAGTGGTCAGCTACCACCCACACATGCTGCTGGCAGTGTTGGCAGCTGGGGGGGGGGAGGGTGGTGAGCAGTGACTGCCCACAGGTGCCACTGGCAGCGTTGGCGGCACTTCTGTCAGGGCGTGCATTGCCAATCTCAGGGGGTGCATGTGCACCCGTGGACACCCCCAATGCGTTGCCAATGCTGAAATTACTGCTAGTTTATTGAGCTGGAGAAGGAAGGGGCCAGGGAGCAGAGAGTCTAAAGGAACAAGCAGATGAGAACGTTCTGGGTCCAAGGGACCCACGGTTAAGGTTTGCAGGTGCAGCCATCAGCATTAGCTGTATTATAGGAGTCAGATAGCAACTGAATCTGAAGGCAGCCTCAACTAAGCATAATGGCTCTCTTATTTCCAGCGGGCAAAACAATGGAAGTAGTTTCAATTCCAAGATGTAGCCCTTGGTCTTACATCCAAAGAAACTGCTCCTGGTAGGCATGATATTAAATATTTTGGGGCTCTGCACTCTCACAAGAGGAAGGAAAAAACTTGAAAATAGTAATCTCTCTCTTTTCTGTGGTCTCCAGTCCTTTGCCATCTCAGGGTGAAATGAGGCCTGGAGACTCGTGTTAATCTGTCACCATTCCTAGGTTCATCTTCTTTTTTTATTTATAATTTTTCATTTGTTGCTTAGTTTTTTGGGAGGTTTCATGGTTTGTTGTTGTTTAACAAGAAGAAGCTTCTAAAAAAAAAGGAAGTTTTGCAATAGCAAAAAAGAGAGTTTTGAAAAAAGAAGAGGATGAGTTTGTGAAACAAGGTCTGGCTCATTGTGATTTCCTCTACCAGCCCACCGTCAAGGATTTTTTGCCAGAACATTCATTACAGTGTTACCCTGGGATACAAAAATTCTATCATCTCCAACAGGTGCAGCTACCTCTGTGTGTCGTGCACAGAAGTTTTCTAGAGGGATCTCATGTGGATTCAATGACTTGCACATGTGATTTACTTTTATGGAATGAGACAAAACATTTAAAACCTTATATTTAATTATGTTTAAGATTAGATTCATATTTTAATGAAAACTCTTATCAGTATGTCTTCAGAAATGTATTGTCTGCTTCCAAGATAAACCAAAGAGTAATGAGGCTGAAGTAATGACACACCATATAAAAGAAAACATACATACTTCAACTATTTATTAACATATTCAGGATAATTCACCAAACAGGAGTCTCCAATGAGTCTCTACAGCAAAAATACACACACAATACAAAAATAAAATCCTACATCTAACTGAACACCAACTCCAAAGATTCAGGCATAAAAATGAAAGAAAATGTGCCGTTGCTTAAGCATGGCTACTTTAAATCGAGAACTTTGCTAAACGTTGTTGAGCTTCTCTCAGACGTTTAATACTTTCCTTCAAATTGGTCCTGTCGCTGGACCTGTCTTTCCGCTCCTTAAGAAGTATGTTGAACTGGTCTTTATCTTGCAAAAGTTGCATCATAGCATTCTGTAACTTTTCACCATAGTCTTCAAGGACATAGGAACGAATAATTAAAGGTATTTGAGTGGAGAGTCGATTACCTGCCCCCTAAGAGAAGAGAAGAGAATTCATAGGTTTAAAATCAAGGGGGAAGGATGCGCAAGGAAATACACAAAATGGGATTCTGCAATTCACAAACATCATATTTAGGGTTTTCCTTAGCTGAGGCTGGGAATATAACAGTATATTTCACTAAAATAAGACATTTCCCTCCATTTAACCTGCTACCAGATTGAAATTCAGGTCTGTCTATGCCACACGCAGAGAAACTACTGCTGTTCAGTTTACAGCTTCTAGAACAAGCTGTTAGGGGCCCTGGCAGGCAGCCCAGCTTAGGCTGACTTCCTGGTTGGCTGCACTTGCCTGGGGTGTCTCCTGGCAGCCCTGTCCCAGCTGGTGGTCCTGGCTGGCCACTGCTTGGAGCTCTTGGTTGGCCACTGGGGAGAGGCCTCCCCCATTTGGTTCCACCTGTGGCCATAGATTGCCGGCTGGCCAACAGTTTTGGGGGTCTGCTCTGGTAAGCCTCTCTGGCCCAGTGCTCTTTGATTTCCTGACCCTGCTCAGCTCTGGTCCTGGACTCTGGCTTCTTGGATTTTCTCTTGAATCTAGTAACTTGGTCTCTGGCTCCTGAACCCTGACTTGGCCTGTACTTTGGACTCTGTCTCTGGATTTGGTACCCCTTAGATCTGGTAACATGGTCCCGCTTCCTACCTCCTTATTTGGCCTCTGTTTTGGATTCTGCCTCTGTCTCTGTCCCTCTTCTGGTAACCTAACTACTAAGCCAGACAACCTATGACACAATAGCTACATAAGCTTACACAGTCTAGCCCTGGCCACATAAAACCCAGAAGAGTAAAATTAGCTTTTACTGACCTTTGTGCTGTCACATATATTCTGCTAACATACCCCAAGCTGGTTCATTTAAATCTGTCTCCAGTATCTCTACCCTAGAATGACTGTAGCATATGATTTCTCAATATAGTATTACTCTTAGCAGTAAGACTACCATGATGCCTAGCTGCAAGTGATTACACTATGTTTCACTTCAGGTTTGGAACCACAGTGAGAACAAGCACCAAAAAGCAATAAGAAGGAATGTTTTTAATGTTATGGGCATAGGTCTTCTGTGCATGCTACCAATTCAATATTTGCCAGAAGACTTCCTTCCCTTTATTTGGACTCCCTACTTTTTCCATGAGTATATCTTTTTTACAAAGCAAGATTGATTGGAAAAGAAAAGAGAAAGACTTACCTTGAAGTATGCAGTCAAGTGATAAGTCATTTCGTTAATGGAATACCGTTTTGGGGAATCCAGAGAGTAAGACAAATGGAAACACTGAACAGATTGAGGAAGCTTCCTAGCTTCCTCTAAAGCTCCACTGTAAAGTCTGTCCTGGCAGTAGACAATTCTTTCCATTTTGAACTGGGTTTGAATCATATTTTCAGCTGCTTCTTCTTGTGTTTGTTTTAGGTCTTCAATGCTACTCTGTCATTAAAAAGGGAAGATATTTTTTAGCATCTGAGACCTATCACCTCTCAGCAATCTATAAAAGAAAGTACAACCCAACCATCTGTATCTACTGCCTCAACAACAACAAAGGTGAGCACTGAAATCAGTCACCACAGAAATGGTCTGATAAAGGGAAAGTGATGATTGTCCACTTCCTTCAAGATTGGAATCAGACTCTAATTCCATAGCCTATGGCACTTTGTTCAGTATCTTTACTTTTATTTGTTCACTGTATAAAACTCCATTATATGCTATTCACTCTCTTATAATAAGAATATTCTTCTCAATATAATAACATTGAGAAGAATCCATTAGCAATTAAAACAGCTACATGGTAGATTGGCCAGAAATAAGCCTGGATTTAAACATAAACCATTAATTATGACTTGGGTCAGAGACACATTATGTAGCTCGTTACCTTTGCTGCTCTGTGAAGAGCAAGGAAATTATCAAAGTGTTTCACAGCAATTTCAGTAAAAGCATCTCGTACAAGGTCTAAGAAAAAAAAAAAAAAAAGAAAAGATGAGGGGGGCTGGACCTGATGATCTCATGAGGTCCCTTCCAGCCCTAAACTTCTGTGAATCTGTGATCAGAAGGAAATCATAAGTTAATGGCATGAGCATAAAAAAGAACCATGCAAAACCTTGGCAGATTGCATTCAGATTCAGTTTAAAGCAGGTTTTAATTTGAAAGCTTCTTGATCAGTGCACTTATTTTCTGTCTAGTATGAACATTTGGTAATATTATGTTGTGGTCTTACAAATTGCAAATATTTTCAATCCCTTCTACTCTAACAATGCATGTGATCACATTCTTAACCTTTTAAACACCTGTAAAAGTCCAACCCATTTGTTGGTTGTGAATCTCAGCCTTGAAAATCTATAACACATCCACTAAACATATACCGAGCCCTTACATATTTCAGGAACTTGATTCCCACTAAAAGGACTGGGGAATTGTGTATTTAATCAGCTGAATGCAAGCTCAGGCACCTCTGTCTTTCCTGAGCCCTTCATAGGGTGCAGGATAGCTTTTTCATTTTGGTGCTTTGTGTCTGTGGTGTGCTCAAGTAGATGTTTTGTTGATACAAACAGCTCTGTAAATGCAGAAGACCATACCTGAAGGCCCAGGAAGTCAATACTAGTCCTGTATTCCTAGATATATAAACTAGGGAATATCAAATTGCCTCTGTATCTAGCCCTGGTACAACCATTGCTGGAATGTTTTACAGATCTGCCATATCAGTAATGTAACTGAGGGTCAGATAACCAGGGTAGCATCTCTGGGAACCACGTTTGTGTTGGGGGAGGGAGCACAAAGCTAGCTACCAGTGGCTGACTGCACCACTGTTCGTAGGCAGTGTGGCAGTTGGTGTTGCCCTAAGTGCTGTGGCTACCCCAGGAGCGGAGCTACCTTGCTATGCTTCTGTGGCATATATAGTCCCAAAAGGATGTTGTTAAAAAGGAAAGGGTTCAGAGAAGAGTCACAAGACTGATTAAAAAAAGACTTTAGTAACAGACTCATGGGCCATGTGCAGACAAGCGCAGCCGTGTAGTATGTGGTGCTGTAGATATGTCTGTGGCACGACGTAGTGCACATTCAGCTGTTCTCCATGTTGCAAGGGAGCAGAGGTTTTTAAAAACCTGCAGGAAAAAAAAAGTGGAGCAGTGCACATGTGGGCAGCGTGCGCTACTCAAAACCAGAACCTGGCCAGCCAGAGCCACACTCCAGCTGCTGGTCAGGTTCTGCAAGGCAGGATTGTTGCTGCTGTAGCCCCAGGAGGCCTCCAGGACCCCAGGTAAGGCTGTTGGGGCCAGCCCAGTGCTGACCCCAACCTCTCCTACTCCACCTGGAGTAACTTACCATGCACCAGAGGGCACGTGGCACAGACATTCCTCAGGGACAACTAGCAGTGGCACAAGACATGCCGCTGCTAGCTGTCCCCAGGGAACCAAACATCCTTGCGCATGTGGACATGGCCAAGGAGCTCAATCTGTTTATCTTAGGAACGAAGTTAAGGGGTGATTTGTTTGCAGACTTAATTTCTCCCTGGGGAGCAGGTATTTGACATTCACTATTTGATCTTTGATATGCAATCTGGCAGAGAAAGTTCTAACCTAATATAATGGCTGAAAGGTGAAGCTAGACACATTCAATCTTAAAATAAGGTGCAAAGTTCAAAGAGTGAGAGCTTTTAACCTTTAGAACAAGGGGTGTCAACCGGGGGTACTTGGGAAGGCCCCAGGGGGTACGTGGTGGTGGTGCGGAGACACTGGGGTACGTGGGACAGTGGTGCACTTTCCAAGTACCCCCGCTTTTCCTTCTGAATGAAGTGCAGTTGTGCGTTCTCCATTATGACTGCATGTTTTTATAATATATATAGGTTTTAGTGGAAACAGGAATTAATTCAGGGAAGTGTTATAATCTGCAGTACACAGGAGGTCACAATGGCTCTTTCAGGGCTCAATCTATGAAAAATATACCAGCTTCGAGGTGCTGATGTAATGTGGAAATTAATATGAAGGATAATTTTAGCAGAAATTCTTTCATCTCTTACCTACATTTAAAGAAACAGATATTCTTTGTTTCATTGAATAATCTTGATATTTCATAGAATATACACATTTATAGATTTCATCCAAAACAATGGCTACATTGGTACATAATGTTTTAGTATTAAAACAGATAGCAGCACTCAATGAATTGCTTTTATCATTATTTTGATTCATGCCACTTAAAATCTTGTCCTAAGTATTAGTGCTAAGTAAATTTAAAAGTCGTAATCAGTATCACAACTATAGTCAAAGTTTATAAGAAATTCAATGAATGAAACTCACCAGTTGTGTTCTTCAGCACTGTAGTAGCTGGAATTATTAGCAACCCAATTTGCTCCTTTACAATGCTCTCAAATGTTCTGTAATTGATAAATCCTGGGAGCTCTCTTCCCCGATACTGATTTTCAAATTTCAAAATTTCTTCTTTCATGAGGTCTTTCACTACAGCATTAAAACAGAAGCACTGTTATCTCAGATGATTCCAGAATTTTTATTTTTACACTACAAAAATGTGGTAAATCCAGGATTTATACTGTTACTTAGTGGCCTTATATTTACTCTTTGGAATGAAGAAGAGCTACAGCAGCACTTGGGTTACAATGGTAGTAGATGCACAGTTTTGACCTGTAGGATTGCTTGCTACAGATATGCTCTGTGAGTGGTTGAGAAAATTCTTTCTAGTGTTGTATATTATCTAGGAGGCAGAGGTAGAGTCAGTGCATTAAAGGACTCTGAATTGTCTGGGTTGTATATAATAGGATGAGATATCAAATGGACATAAGGAAGCTGGGCACTTAATTCCCTGAGATGCTTCTGAAGGCACAACCTAAAATCAAGTTCAGCAATAACACTGCTTTTCATGGAATAAGAACTACATTGATCTTTAGACTGATTAATAACCCATGTAATTTTATGGCAGATTTTTTACTTGCATCTATTATTTTTGTCAGTCAACCCACTGACAAGTTTAGAAACAATAAGCAGAAAACCGTCCTTGGAGTTAAACTTTCATTACTTCAGGGTTCACTTTCATTAGTATTAGCTTTTAGGGTTGATACTATTTCAATTAGAACTGTACTGGGATTAGGGGTCATTTAAAAACAGCAGTTGGCTCACACCACACTCTGGACTTGAACATTCCTAAAATTTAAACAAGCTTGGTTCCAAATATGAAATTATCACTGTGAACTCCTCTCTCTCATTACTGGAAAAAATCCTGGACAAAGATAAATTATTTCCTATAAACTGACCTGTGTACACATTGAGCCTGTTGACTTGCCTAGGAATTTGTGAAGGCACAGTGCCAAAGTTTAGTATTTACTATTCAGTGCATTGTTATTAATATCTGTTTCCCATTCATTAAAGAGTTTTCGAATTTTTGTGAAGAGTTTAGGACTGTCTTTGTTAGTGCAAACCTCTTCTCCCTGCACTGCATTCATGATGTCCTGATTGAAGAGCTTGATTTTCTGTAAAGAGATGGGAAACTGTCATTTAAAAATAACTACAAGACTTAATGCAGACCTTGAGTTATTAGTGATTATGGTACATGTGCAAAACTTTACAGTTGGGAGGGGAAATAAAGGGTGAAAAGTTGCATGCTATTCCCTGGCAAAACTGTCATATTCATATACTGCAAGTTGCTTGTACATGGAAATATGGAAATGACATTCTGAGATGCAGCCAAAGGTCATAGGATGTGTATTTCAGCCCTGGTACTCAAGCTGTGAACTCTGAACAGCTGATGATCTGCACCTTTTTTGTCAGTGATACGTGAAGGGCTGATGGGGCAGTATTTTAGCCATTGAACAAGCTTATGAGACCAAAGACTCATTAGACTTGGTTATATTCCCAGATTTGTCAGTTCCCTGTGGGGTAGCACCGGGCAAGTTATTTCATCTTTCTGAGAGGCACTAATTTTTGTGTCTTAATGATGAATTATGGTGGTCTTTTATTGGATCAATTATCCCAGCCATGCAGTTGGTCCAATAAAAATATAACCCGCAAAAATCCTTGCCTCTTGCATATTTCCTGGACCATCACAATTACATCACTTCAACACTACCACTCATCTCCCTGTACCAGTTTTCCTTGTACTCTTTGTCTGTCCTGTCTAGGCTGCACAGGGAACAAAATCTCTCTCTTCATATGCACAGTACCTAGTGTAAAAGGGTTCTGATCTGTGCTTGAGCTTTTAAATGTAATTGTAATACAGGTAACAAATGGTAATTCTTAATGTTATTTTACCATGCAAGCAATTGCTGTAATGAGATGCTGGGTTGTTACAAAAATGGGGTCAATGATTCACAAGACAGTGGATGTATTAAATAAAGGCCCCATAAGTAAAATTTTGGAGAATTTAGTGCAGTGGGGCATCACCTTTTTGGTAGTCATGCCACAAATTGGTTCCACATGCTCCATACGCCGCACAGATCCCTTTCTTCTGCCCAATCTGCTGCTCTGCTTCCTTCTCTATCTGCCATTGTGCTGCCTGTTCCCTCCCTAATCTGTTTCATACCACCCAAAAAGGCTATCCAGTGCTACATGTTGGTCAGCCCTGTTTTAGTGTGTAACCCCAATCCTAACTGTCTCGTTGTCTGAGGAGTGGCTTTGTATATTAATTCCAGGACTACCTGGTTTGGTTAAAGTACAGATGGCAAACAATGTTACTTCTAAAAATTACTGATATTCAGGGCAAAATATTGTTGTCGGATATAGCTCTGTAGAGCTGGATCTTAATTGGGTAAACCTTCTATTTAGCTTTGATGCCCACAGTATTTTTTCTTAATGCAGTATACTCTATAATCCAGGACATGCTTCAGGACACTGATAGCTTGGATGCTCCCCTTCAATTATGATAGCCGATAATTGCACGACAGAAAAAAAAAAAAAGTGTCTTTCTTTTTTTTTTTTAATCTGGTTCATTTTGCATCCTGGGTTGCTAAAGATGAGAATTAACAGTAATGTTGCGTGGTCTAATTTTCTAAAATTAACAAAAACACATGTGGATATGCGTATAGTTATTTGGTGGTTTCATGACCACATAGTCTACAAAGAGTTGAACGTCTAATATACTCTTGATTCCAAAGGCTAATTTGCCTTTTATTCAAATGTGTTACTAAATCCACATTTATACTTACCTCTATTAGAATGAGCATCTTCCCTTCAGCTGTCTCTGGTATGCCTAGGCCACACTTTTGTAACTTGTTGCTTGCAACCTGGAGTTTGTGCTGTATTTGCTTTTCTAAATTTGGCAGGGATTTCTGAAGGTAAGGAAAAATAAAAAGGAAAGAATTGAAAAAAAAAGAAAGAAACAAAAACAGCTCATTGACTAGTTAACAACGTACATTATCATTGTATATTAACAAAGTGAGGCCAAGTTTTCTTTTGCTTTTTTTTTAAACTTTAACCCACGGTAAGAGTCCATGGAACCTTTAGTTAAGTATCAATCATTTTTTTTTTATCTACCTAGGTACCGGCAGAGAGGTACATTCAGACAGTCACTAATAACCCACTGTTAAATAATTAAATAAAAAATATTTTCCTTTTTGTTTGACCATATGTAACAAATACATGTAAATTGCTTTATGCCTAATCACTAGTTACAAAATATGTATTTGTGGGAGAAAAAGTTCCCATTATGTTCAATTTTCTAGAAGGTAGTTAAGGTTTCAGAAAGGTCTGTCCAGCAAAATAAATACCCTGGCAAAGGAGCTAAAAAAACATTCTCTCATTTTGTGCCTTATCAAATACCTTTCCAAAGAACCAGTAGTTTTAATGTGATAGCTTACATTAATGTGATCTATCAGTTCCTGTGTAAGTCTTTCTGCCAAGAGAGGGATAGTAGCCTTTTTTTCTTCCAGAAGAATGCTGAAAGAGATTAAAGAATACAATAAAATAATAAAATAATACCTTTTAATAATATATAATAAAATAATATCTTTTTATACTTGCAGTATACATAAAAGCTTATTTTATCCCAAAGGATTGAATATGAATTCATAAACTACTATGATGAACCCACTGAAGACCTGGTTAACACCATCTGACACCTCCAGGGAAGAAATTCTACCTGATCTGCACATCAAAGAGCTACTCAGCACAGCTCTCATAGTTTCATAGTAGGGAGGGTCGGAAGAGACCTGAGCAGATCATCAAGTCCGACCCCCTGCCATGGGCAGGAAAGAATGCTGGGGTCCAATGACTCTGGCAAGGTGTCTATCTAGACTCCTTTTGAAGACCCCCCAGGGTAGGAGCAAGCACCACTTCCCTTGGAAGTTGGTTCCAGATCCTAGCAGCCCTGACTGTGAAGTAGTGCCTTCTAATGTATAGTCTGAATCTACTCTTCATCAACTTATGGCCGTTATTCCTTGTTACTCCCAGTAGTGCTTGGGGGAACAGGAACTCCCCCATTGCCTGCTGGTCTTCCTTGGCAAGTTTATGGACAGCCACCAGATCCCCTCTCAGCCTTTTCTTGTGGAGGCTGAACAGGTTCAGGTCTTGTAGCCTCTCCTCATAGGGTCTGCCTTACTGCCCCCTGATCATGTGAGTGGCCCTCCTCTGGACCCTCTCGATGTTGTCCACATCCCTCCTGAAGTGCAGTGCCCAGAACTGGACGCAGTACTCCAACTGACCAATGTTGTATAGAGGGGGAGGATCACCTCCTTGGACCTGCTTGTGATGCATCTGTGAATGCATGACAGGGTGAGGTTAGCCTTCCTGACCGCGTCCCCACATTGGCAGCCCATGCTTATCTTGCAGTCTATAATGACTCCAAGATCCTTTTCTGCCTCTGTGCTGACAAGAATGGAGTTCCCCAGCCTGTAGGTATGCTGCTGGTTCTTTCTCTCTAGGTGCAGTACCCTGCACTTGTCAGTATTGAATCCCATCTTATTCTCATCTGCCCGCCCCTGTAACCTATCCAGATCCAATTGCAGCCTGTCCCTCCCTTCTAGTGTGCCCACTTCTCCCCACATCTTAGTGTCATCTGCGAATTTGAATAAGGTGCTGTTCACCCCCTCGTCTAAGTCACTGAACTTGACAAAATGCTTCAAGAGGATCTTTTGTTTAAGACCATTTTCTTTTTAGTACAAAATAATTTACTCTTTAACTGCCTTTTGAATTCTAAATAATTTTAATTTTTCACTTTTTTGCTTGTAATATTGAGAATGCCATATAATACCCATTGCGCTTCTATTATGCAACTACTTTCATATTTTTATACATTTCTATATACTTCAGAAATCTACCCTAAGGAACAAAGAAGGGCCTTATAGTTAAGGCACTGAACAGCAGCACTGAAGATCTGCATTCCCTTTTCTGCTTTCCTACATAATTCCTGTACTCATGGACCCAGACGGACAGCCTTCCATCTTCAGCTCCCTCTGTGCAAAAATGAAGTTTATTTCCTACCTATGGGGACTTTTTGCCATCTTGTACCATCTATACTTTTCCCAGAGCCTGATGAAGGGACTTTGAACCTGAAAGCATGCAGAGAAGGACAATTTTCTTGTGATTTCCCAGTTGGTCTAATAAAAGGTATCTTTTTGGAATCAAGAGTTCTAGTTTTTTTGTATGTCTGCAATATTCACGATTTTATAGACTTGTCAGATATTCCCCCTTAGTCATTTCTTCTCCAGGCTGGAGAGACCTAACCACTGTGGAGTGTTCTCTAAAAAGAATCATTTCAAACAGCATGCAGTATTCAGTAGGTAGGTGTACCAGGAATGACACAATGACGTTTTCTATTTTGTTTTCAGTTTCTTTTCTAATGATTCCTAACCTTGTGTTTTGCCTTTTGACTGCCACTGTGCATTGAACTGATTCTTTTTAGAGAAGAGGTACAGACATGGGCAATGAAGAAGATGTAGGGTACAGAATGGCTTCCATATGAGGAGAGACTGGACAGACTGGGACTCTTCAGCTTGGAAAAAGAGATGACTAAGACAGGAATATGAGAGAAATCTTTGAAATAATAAAAGATGTGGAAATAATAAACAGGGAACTGTCATTTACAAGAACTACAGAGCGCCTCATGACATTATCAGGAAGTGCATTTAAACCAAACAAAAGGAAGTACTTTTTTAGCATAATTAACATGTGGAGGCCAAAAGTATAGACAGATATTCAAAGGACAGGTCCACTGGGGCTATTAAATACAACAATTAGGGATACAAACTACTTACAGTGAATGGGAGAGTATGACAGGTATGACTCATTCTACCCTGTTTCTTATATTTTTCTTTTAAAGCAGGGTATCAAAGACCCAGCCTACAGGTCAGATCCAACCTGTGAAGCCATAACAATATCCCTACAGGGCTTCCCATGAGATCTGTGGCAAAAAATGCTGTTGTTGCTCATCCTGCCACCAAATTTTCTGCCTCATGAAGAACCTTGCAGGCTGGATCTGGAGCACAAAGCCATGTCATCTGGCCTATGGGAGTGGCTGTGGAGCTGGAATGAGTTTTGGTTGGATGAGTTTGACATGAATGATCTAAAGTAGCTAGTATTTACCCCTCTCAGAGAAGATATTGGGCTAGTTAGATCTTGGGCAATATTTGCACTTATGTATGAAGTGGGTGCAAGTGAGCAGGTTTTGTTTCTTGGCAGTACTTCTAGACTCATCACAGAGGTGGTATAGAATTGCAGAATCACAGAAAATTAGGGCTGGAAGGGACTGCAGGAGGTCACACCTAATTCAACCCCCTGCTCAAAGCAGGACCATCACCAACTAGATCATCCCAGCCAAGGCTTTGTCTACCCAGGTCTTAAAAACCTCTAAAGATGGAGATTCCACCACCTCTCTGGGCAACCTGCTTTTCTAACCTCCTAGTGAGAAAGCTTTTCCTAATAGTCAACCTAAATTTCCCTTGCTGCAACTTGAGACCCCTGTTCCTTGTTTTGTCATCTGCCACCAGTGAGCAGAGTCCAGCTCCATCCTCTTCTGAGCCCCTTCAAGTAGGTGAAGGCTGCTATTAAATCCCCCCTTCAGTCTTCTCTTCTCTAAACTAAATAAGCCTAGTTTCCTCAGCCTCTCCTCATAAAGATAGGCTTACTCAGTTGTGGATCTCCTTTCTGCAGGAGTTGAGAGTGATTATATTGCTGTTTAGAGTACCAAAGTGAAAAATCCTGCTCCCCAAACTTATGCCTGTCTGCTCCATCTGCTCTGCTGATTGGCAGAAGGTCAGAGAGGGGGAGAAGATTTAGGGTGAGGGAATTCCTGCTGCCTCTCATACAATCTTGGACTTTCTGGAATTGTACAAGGAGTGGCAGGAACTGGCAACACTGCTTGAACAGTCCCAAAAATGTCCTGGGACTGTTCAAGTGGGGACCCCAGTAGGGTTCTTCAGCAGCTCACAGATTCATACATTGTAAGGGGCTGGAAGGGACCTTGTAGATCATTGGGTTCAGTCCCCCTGCACCGGGCAGGAAGAGACAACTGGGGTCAAGTGACCCCAGCGAGGTGACTGTCCAGTCTCCTTTCCTCTTGCCACTGAGCTGCCTACCTCTCCCTCCCACTTTGAGGGGGTAGGGAGAGTGGGGGATTGTAGGATACTGAGGGTCCTAGAGACTTTATACCACCAAGTGTAAGCATACAGATATTACACGTGGTCCTAAAAACGTCTCTCTTGAGAGAGGTTGCTGGTTGAAATAAATGGCTAACCATTTGTAGTGGAATTACTTTGCTTTTTCTGCCATAAATTGCTTGAACACCCATAAACTCACTTTTTGTGCCAGGAAAGGGGCATATTTCCTGACACAAATGTGGCACCTGTCCATGGTCTGAGTCACAGTTCCTCTTCTTCTTCTACCTTTCCACAAGAAGCAGTATTTTACTGCTAGTGAAATACCAACCAGTTTCATCTAGTGATGCAAACAAGATCTACCTGTTTTAGCTGGAGAGTAAGCAGACAGATAACCTTCTTGTTTGTACCCAATCCCTATGTAATCTAGGCTTTACTACTGAAAAAAATTGTGCTGATCACGTTTACTTTACTTTTTTCCCCCCTAACAATTAATAGGGAAAACTCTGTAAGCTAATCAGCGTGAATCAATTTTAAAAACCAACCTAAAATGTTCGTGCTCCTCAAAGAATTCTCTCTCTCTTGTAATTGCAGAAGCCAGGGTCAACTTGTCATTGATGTCTTGTTGTCCACGACATTTTACAATCATATAACCCTTCCTTAGAGGAACACTTAAATTTCGGACTATGTCAATGACAGTTCTTTCTGTTCCTTTGTCCACCAAATCTGGTTTGGTCAGAATTCCTGAAAAGCAACACGAGAATTGTTATATGCAGAGAGCTGATACACCTTTTTTTTTTTTTTTTGAAGGAAGCGCCACCTTTGGTTTCATAATTAAGGATCAGGTGATTGTCACGAACCCATCCCAAAAGTAGGAATACTTCGAAGTTTTCATGGAATCTCATGTGTAGATGTTTTCCTGAATTAGTTTTATTAATACAGTGTTAGGTCTTTGCTCATAGCTAATTTTCAACTGTGTTTAGTCTTATTTTTTATGTTTGTATGAACCCTAATTTTGATATAATTGCATTTTTATATTTAGCCAGTCAGGTAATTACTGATTAGGCATCAAAGACTACAGCCATTCACACTGGAGAGGTACAATGTCTGGTCAGTGGAGGAAGAGTACTCACTGAGAATTCACATTTGGGATGGTTGTGCATGTGGACAAGCCAGAGGGGCTGGATGCAGATGTGACCTGAAGCCTAATCCAAACAGCAGTGGATTGCACATCAAAGGGTGGTTCCAGAGAGGATGGAGCTAGACTGTTCTCAGTGGGGGCAGATAACAGAACAAGGAGCAATGGTCTCAAGTTGCAGCAAGGGAAGTTGAGGTTAGATATGAGGAGAAACTTTCTCACTAGGAGGGTAGTAAAACACTGGAGCAGGTTACCCAGAGAGGGGGTAGACTCTCCGTCTTTGGAGGTTTTTAAGGCCTGGCTAGACAAAGCCTTAGCTGGGATGATCTATTTGGGGATGGTCCTGCTTTGAGCAAAGGGTTGGACTAGATGACCTCCTGAGATCCCAACCCTAATTTCCTATGATTCACAAATCAGAAAGTTTTAGAATAGACATTTTCAGGAACATAGAAGAGGCATAACTCCCAACATTTTAGTAAATATATAATTAGAAATGCCAGAGAGCAGGGGGGCGGTATGCTAAGTGCCTGAGGACTTTACCTGGCTCCAGAAACTCAAAGTCCCCAGCTGTTGCTGCCACAGTGCTGACTCCCCATACCCTCCCTGCTGCTGCCATGGTGCAGGCTTCTCACATACCCCTTGCTGCTGCTACCATGTGCACTCACCAGGGGCCACAGTTCTGGTGCCACCTCTAAATCAGCACCTGGTGCTAGTGCACCACTGGTTCTCATCTAGTTATACTACTTCATTTCACACAAGAAAGGATTAAAAATGCTGTGGGGGGGGTTTTTTTTGGTAGTCCCTTAAGGATTTGTGCTTAGAGCATCTGACATTTTTATCTGAAACAAAAAATAAATGAGATGATTTTGTATGAATTTCAAATATGTCCACAGCCAAAGCACAGGACCATCTCCTCTGCTACTTTTCCACTGTAGGTTCTAATATACATTTTTTCTCTTTTAGCAACATAGGTGCACACCCTTGATGCCACAGAAATTAGTAGGTGATGATCAGGGATCCGGGTTTTCCGTTTCCCACAGAAAAATGGGAAAAAAAATGCGATTTCCTCTTTTGACTGAGAAAAATACATATTTTTTTCATTTTAACAGAGAAACATGAGGATATTCCACTTTTGCAAAGCGTTCCAGCCTTCAAGGGGCTCTGGGTAGAGGGAGAAGGGCAGTCGGGCAGGGGGTGCCTTGTGGGCACTCACACATGGCCACCAGGCAGCCTGGAAAGCAGCTCCCACAGGTAAGTCTGGCGGGAGGGAAGGGGGGATTGAGGACTTCTTAGGGAGGGAGGAAGTGAGGGAGGGAAGGAGTTGGACAAAATTAGGCAGGGCTGGGGCTGCTGCTGCTGCCCAGCCAGGTGGGGTGTAGGTCTTGGTGCCTGGGGCCTGAATGCACGGTCACAGGGTGGGGAGCAGGATGGAGTTGTGCCCTCCAGATTTGTGCACAGGGCAGGGACAGCTGTGGACTGCTCCCTGCAGGCTCAGGCCTCCTGCCCTGCTGCCCTCTCCCTGGGGCCTCTACAGTGCAGCAGGTGGGAACTGGCGGGGCAGCGCAGAGGAAGGCCAGGCAGGGTTGAGTGAGAAAACTCCAGTGGCAATGCATAGGAAGTGCATGTGCACCTCCTGACTGCCAGCATGCCCAGGCAGGTGAGAGCATTGGTGCCCCCCTGAGAGCACCAGCCAGGGAGTGGAGGCGCCAGGAAAAGTGGTCCCCCCATGGCTGATCGCACTCACCTGGAAGCATCAGCGGCATGCCTGGAAGTGCCAATGGTGCGCTGCTGCCACTTGCGGGTCGGTGGGATTGGCCATGGGGGGATGCCCCCCAGGTCGCTGACTGTCTGCTGGGAGGGAATGAGGGGAACTGGCAGGGCCAGGGGGTTGTGGCTTGGAAGTAAGGGGCCTGGCCCTGCATCCTGGTGAGGGAAGAGGGCAGGAGAAGCTCTGATTTTCCATGATAAAGAACCCAAAATCAAATACTAGAATTTATAGGTACTTAGGATTTATTTTATTATAGTGATTGAGGCACAGGTAGGCTTCCAAATTGGTTAAAATTGTAAATATATCAATAAAACATTGTGTTCAATTGATACCTGTATACAGTGGCATTTCATTTTAATCACAGAATTTGTTTTTTTTAATTAGAGAATTTGTGATTTTTAAACAGAGAAAAACCAAGATCCTCTGTGATGATGTCCTCTCATCTAGGCACAAATTTCCAAAATGTCAGAGTAAATGCCCATTTTGCTGATGCCACTGAAAACATAGGCCTCCCTTCTGCAATAAACTCCTGGGCTTTAAGGCAGGCACAGCCATCAACTCTGACTCATCTGAAGCACCTCTCAGTGACACGTTGTAGACTCAGGACCATGGAAAGTTACCAGATTAAAAGTATGCCACAGAATTGCAGAAGATAGACCTGGAAGGAACTTCAAGAAATAGTCTAGTTCAGTGGTGCTCACAGTTTTGGCCCCATGGACCAAATGACTGGTGTGAGGGCAGTCCATGGGCCAGAAATTGGGCCCCAGGGCCCCACACCACTGCCACCTGGCTGGAGCCCAGGGAGGGATAGAGTGGGTCCCCGAGGTCTGATCTTGGTGTGCAGTGACCAATCAGAGGCAATGCAAGGCCCTAGAGCCCAATCATGGTTGGGCAGAGGTGGCACAGGGCTCCATGCCACCCCACCTGAATCAGACTCCAGGCTAGAATCAGACTCCAGGGTCACCTTGCAGCCCCCACACACCAGGACTGGGCCTTTCACTCCCAATCTAGTGCACAAGACCATGACTCATATAGCTCCCCATAGGATCCATGGGGACCCCTGCAGGCCAGATTACACTGGGCCTGTGGCTGGATTTGGCCAGCAGGCTTGGGGCTGAGCTCCCCTGGTTTAGTTTCTCCTGCTGCCCCAGACAGGATCAAGTATACCAGTGCCACTTGTATCTCAGGGTATATTTACCATTTCTTATTTCTTTCTCCACTTCTGAGGGATAACGTAGTTCTTGCTCTACCTCCTTGTACTTTATTTTCCCTTTCCAGTCTTCTGGAACATGGCTTTTCTTCAGTTTGAGCTCTAAAGGACATCTGGTAACAATTCCTGCAATATTACAGAAACACAATTCCGTATTGTAAAAGCCTAAGTCTGTCTGTCTGTCTGACCATAACGCTTTATTTGCGCTCTGATTGGCTGACAAACAGCCAATCAGAGTGCAAAGAAGTGTTCTGACAGAAGGCAGCCTGCTGCCATGACAGTGGGGACACAGGGGACAGAGCTGGGGGGGGGTGGGGAAGGCGAGGCCAGAGCAGCTGGCCTTGACCCTCCTGCCCTGATCCCTGGAGACAGTGGACAGACCAGGGGGAGGGGATGGGGGGCAGGGCACGGGGCTCCATACCTCTCTGCTCTCCTCTCCCCCAACCATCATTCTTGATGGGCAATTGGCCAGTGCATATATAAAGACTGAAAGGCAATATTCCCTTCCCCTTGGGAAGCTATTTAACTACAATTGCAAATGTGATCTCATATTCAAAAGACACCACTGCTACTTTTCAGTTACACAGTATTGGGGCTCATAGTTAATGTTCTTTGCAGTATGAGTTCTTTCATTGGCTCTAAGGAGTTTTAGATGAGCTTTCACCCCAAGAAATCTCAGAGTTCATTTCAAAGATGTGTAAGACCATTGCTGTTATTCCTGTTTTGCACAAACAGGTCAATTAGGATCAGGAGAATGATGTGAACTGTCAACGATCACGTGAAAAGTCCTTTGCAGAGCCTTTGCATCTCTTCTGCCGCCCAGCCCATGCTCAACCTACCAGGTCACAAAGGGTTCCTGTCTCTTTCAAAGAAGTCCTTCAGTTTCCTTTTAGGACACTATACCCTGGCAAATGCTGGATGCTTCAGAAATGAAAAACCACAAGGTAAATTCTTACCGCTGCCTCTAGGAAGAGCAACACCGGACAATGCTTCTAGGACTGAGCTTTTTCCAGAGCTCTGATCTCCTATCACGGCAATTGCTGGCAAAGCAAGGTCCTTTTCTACTCCAAGGGCTCTCAAAGAGTCGATGAGATCAATGCAAGGACGGACCTTTTCCTCATATTCGCTGCCCAAGAAAGTGTCTGCTTTCTGATAAAAATAAAAAAAAGAGGATGAGAAACTACTTCTTAAGTGAAAGCAGGGCCTTGTCTTCTGAGTTCAAGCATGTAAATAGTCTCAGTGAAATTAGACAAAGCATTATACCAGCAGTTTCTTTCCATCAACCCATAGTAAATAGCTCTGTAGTGAGAAAAGAATCAACTATTTTGGCAGTCACTTCACATTTACCCCAGAGTCAGGAAACTGTATTCCATATGCTCAGTGAAGAACAAAATATGCATAGCTCACTAGGTTAAACATCTCATGTCATTGCCACCTGCTAAGATTTGTAGAGGTGCTGCAGTGGGACTTCTTCCCCCCACCCCCTTGCCCTCAGCCCCTAGTAGCATAAGAGAGGGAACCTGGTAGGGCCTTTTGCACAAGGGTCCTTTTTCATTAGAATGTGCTGCTCTGTTCCCATTAATTTAGTCTAAAACATCCTCATCTATTGACATTAAAAGCATGCTGGAAAGCTCAGATCCTTAGGAACAGTGGACAAGCACACCTCTGAGCACAGTAACTTGCAGAAGTAAATAAACCTGAGTTCTTAAACTGTTAGGCAGTCATTAGCAGCACCCACAATTAATCTGTTAGCCAGCTGCTCAAGTGGAGTGAGCTGGAATCATAGTCTAGTTTAGGGGCGGGCAATTATTTCGGGTGGAGGGCCACTTACACAGTTTTGGCAAGCTGTTGAGGGCCGCATAGGTAGCCCCACACACTGACAGGTGCCCCGCCTCCTGGTCACCATCTTGGGACCAATGTCCCAATGTTTTGGAACCAATGTCCCAGGGCCAGCACTGGTGGGGCCCAGAGTAGAGCGCAGGCTGGCAGGAGTCTGTGGAGTCGGGTTGGGCTGTACCAATAGGGAGAGGGGGGAGCTGTCCTGGCTTCATCGAGCCCCTGCCACCCTGGATCCCTACCGCCCTGCTCTGGGCCCTGCTGGTGCTAGCCCTGGGACACCGGTGTAGGCCCTGCTCCCGCACCTGCTCACACCCAGTGCCTCCCCAGCCCTGTGGTACAGGCGGGGGGCAGCGCACAGCCCTGACCCCCTGCTCACTGGCAGGGAAGGAGCTGGTGCTGAGCACAGGGAAAAGCGGCCCCTCGCCTGCCCCGTGGCTGGCACTCTCTGCTCCAGCCACTCACAGCCCACGCGTGGCTGCCTGTGCCTGCTCAGGACAACCCCACATGGGCTGCGAGTGGCTGCAGCATGGAGCTCTGGCCACAGGGCAGACAAGGGGCCGCTTTTCCCAGGGCTCAGTACCAGCTCCTTCCCTGCCCACCCATCCCCTGCCCTTCTTACCTGAGCTTCCCGCGCCAGTGCAGCCACATGGTCCAAGGCCAGAAGCCCCTGGTAGGGCTTCCAGCTGGGGCGAGTGGGGCCAGATGGGCCCTGTTGTTGCAGGAGCCTGCCGAGGGTTCCCCTGGGTCCTACTACCCTTGGTTCCTGTCATTTTTGACAGGAACCAAGGACAGATAAATTTTAATTTTCAAAATTTTTTTAGGGGCCCCATGGGCCAGATAGAATGGCCTCACAGGCTGTATTTTGCCCACCCCTGGTCTAATTCCTCCCGGGTTTCCATATCACAAAAATCACCTTTGGAAATGGCACTACCTGGAAACTTTGTTAGCACTCTCAGGAGAGGCACATACAGTATTTTGAAGTTTTTATGGTATGATTTGCATAATTCTGATATGTATTTGGCACTATATGGTAATTACAAAGCTATACCTTTGGTTGTTGCTTTATCACCATTAGAGTGGAAGTTCTTCTTTTCTTCTCCATCCCACCTGTCATGCTGTCGTGGATCTTTGGCTTGTTTTCCTATCATGAAAAATACAAAAGAATAGGCCATATGGTGGCATTTCTTTAATCAAAAAGAGCACTTCTGATTTGGTTCACACATTCTGCCAGGGTATTACTAGGAAAGATCCCCAGTCAGTATTTATTACTGTGCCTCCATTGAAGCCAAAACACTAATTTATATCAGCTGAAGATCTCATCTGGTAACTCCAACCTTACTGGACTAAAGAACAGAAGCAGCATAAATGTGTGTTCAGTTGGTTTCACCTAAACAGTTGTTTTTGTAAGCCAACTTGTGTATTTTTGTTACATAAACATGTTTTAAATCTACCTTCATGCTGTCTAAGAAGTGAAAGACATTAGGCATTCCAGTTTCTACAGGCAATGAATGGTAAACAAGGGAATGATGTGGTGTAACAGTGGCCCCTAACCCTTGCCGCTTTAAGAGAGGAAGACAGCTGACTGAAAACCAACAGTGAGAACTGGGCAGCTGAAAGGAAGAAAGGAGTAGTAGCTCCAAAGCTGCAGGCCACTTACCTGAAGCAAGCTGGTAAATGAGATAGGCTACAAGGGCTGAGCTCCAGACAGTGCGTTAAATAGTGGCTGCAGCAGATCTGAGCAGACTGCTAATAACTGAGCCAATAAGTAACCCCTGTTCCTGAGTGTAGATCCAGGTATTGAAGGGGCTGCAAGACAGTGTGGAGGGCAGCTTGAAGAAAGGCTGGCTTGACTGCAAGGCAGTGCAGAGGTACTTGACTGGGAGAGGCTGGTCACAGGACTGTGAGTCTAGTGGTAGGGAAGAGGGCTGTGGAGAGGCAAACCTGTAGATTGCTCAGTAGGAACCCCTGCACCTGGCTCCCAGAAGTGGGGATCTGGTGATCGGATGGGGGTAGAGTTAATAGGTATAAAGGTTTGGCTCCAGGGCTAGAGAGGCACTCTGGTCCTGGGGAGAAGAGTTCCCTGGAGAGCAGCGTGAACTAAAGGATGCAGAGGGATAAGGTACCCTAGGGAGCTGTCCATCGTGTTTTGCCCTACATCTTCAGACTGCTAGATGAAAGAGTAGTATTTAGAGGAAACTAGAAAAATGATTTATTTCAGTGAGACAATTCTTATAATAATATAACTTGTTCTCACTCCTACTAGAGAATCCTCTGCAGTGAATCACATACAACTGCAAATTGGCTACATTTTGGCTTTTGCATATTCCCTCATAGGGGAATTACTAACACTCAACTGTAACAGTTGATGTGATTTTTCTCCTGTCCATTTCTCTGTTTTCAGGCTCCCCCCCGCCTGCAGCTTCCCAGTGGTTTTCAAACTAACTAATATTCTCTTTCACCATACAAATATCACAGATACCAACTCAGGTTTAAATGATATAACAAAAAATAATGTAGGAAAGTCTTACCAGATTGATACCTTTGAGCTGAGGTAACTTCTTATAGCTCCTGGTCTGCTGCTGATTCTGTTTATATCAACTCCACCCCCTCCCTGATACAGCTTGGAGAAATGAAACTAAGAAAGGTTCATGAAATCAAGTGTGAAGTAACCTTACAATTTTAGTGCCTGCAGAACCTGTTCAGTGCAGCAGTTTTAGTGCCTGCAGAACCTGTTCAGGACAGAGGTAAATCTCAGTTTGTACACTCATCATCCTCTTAAAGACTGGCATTTGAAAGACAAAGGACCCTCCCTGCAAAACCAGCAACTCTCACCATTACAGACACCCAAAACTGCACATCCCTGCATGGAGCACACATGCTCAGTACATCAAGGGCTGCCCCTTGCCTGGGCATGCCTCCTGTCACTAGGGTCACACAAGGTTTGCCCCTATAAAAAGGGGCAGTGAAGACAGACCCAGTGGGAATGCCATTTCCATCTGGACCAGCACCATGCCACACCACCTATCCACCCAGAGGCCCTGCTGGTGACCCCACTCTGGGCAACACCTACTGGACTAGGACCCCTCCAGCCTGGATAGGTAGATACTACCTGCACACCTCCTCCTACAGTTTGGACTCTCTCTCTCTCCTCCTGGACTTCAGTGGACTTCAGCCCCTGCACCAAGCCTCTTTAACCCCTGCTGCCATGCGCATGCGTGCGTGTGTGTGCAAGGGAACCAATTTGGCATCGTGTCACCATCTCCCCTGTTCAATAAAACCACTGTCATTTGCAACCCCGAGTTAGGTCATGTTTTACTGAATCCCAGTCCCTTCCTTATCTTAAATTCCAGCCTCATTCTCTCTCTCTCTCTCTCTCAATTTCAGCCCCCCACCCCTCTCCACTAGTTCCCTGATCTCTCAATTCCTACTGCCTCTTCCCTGTGACTTTCTGCTGCTTTTCACTGCTTTCCTGCTGCCCCTGCCGCCTTTCAGTCTCTCCTGCTGCTTTTTCTGTGATTTTTTTCTCCTGTCCATTTCTCTGTTTTCAGGCTCCCCCTGCAGCTTCCCAGCTCCTGCGGTTTTCTCCAGCAGCTGGAGCCTTTCTCCAGCTCCCAGCACCTACTGCCCCAGTCTTCAACTTCTCTAGCTGCCTCGGAGCTATCCTCTGGCTCCCCCACAGCCAGGGCCCCTCTTTAACACCCACACTTTCCCTTAGTCCCACTTTCCCTCTCCAGCACCTACCTTTTCAGCTCCCCCTGTAGCTCTGGCTCCAGTCCCAGACTCTGTGCGGCATGCTTCCCTGTTCTGCAGGCTTTGGGTGTCTCTTTTAATCAATTAAGATCAATTAACCTAAAGTTACCCCCAGCCTCAGTTCTTCAGCCCAGGCCCCTGTAGTCTACTGGTTCTAATCCTGGTCCTGGTAACTTTAACTCCCTACACTTCTTCTTTCTTACCTTAACCTTTCCCCAGGTATCCCAAGTACACCAAGCATATGCATACATACACATCACAACACCCAACTTAGGAACTCACCTGTGTGTATGTGTAGGTGGGTGGTATGTGTGTGAATTAGTGAATACACATATATACATATACATAGATATCATTGTGTGTGCGGTATATGAATTAGTAATCCAAGTATGTGTACTAGATGTGCAGGTGTTGGTAACTGGTAACTAATTCTGTCTAAATTTGGTGTGTATAGCATGTATGGGCTTAAACTGGTGATAGGTGTGCATGAACCTAGACTGGTTATTTTGAACGCGTGTGTATGGGTCTTGTGTGTGTATATATAATGTCATTGTGTGCATGATATACGAATTAGTAATCTGTGTCTAACTTTTGGGGTATATAGTGTATGTGCTTGAATTGGTAATAAATATGCATGTGCCTAGGCTGGTTTGGATGTGTGTGTGCCTGAGCTGGTAGAGTGTGTGTGTATTTACCTAATTGATTTGTGTGTGTTTTGTATATGTGCAATTGTGTCACACCCTCCTGTCTAACAGTGCAATATTGAGATCCTGAGAGTTGGCTTGACCCCCCAGGGCAACACAACAACCTTTAATGTGAGGCGAGGACTTTTGTGGGTGATAAACAGGGGTGAGAAAGGATACTTTATATCTGAAAGCTTGACTTTATCTAGGGTAACCATAATAATTTGAGGGAAATCTGGGATGGGGGTACCAGAGGGCAGGGCTGGGCATGACAGCATGGTGTATGTGCATGCACCATCCCCAACCCACTACAGCTCCCAAGAGCAGGACCAGGGCAGGACACACATGCACGTGTGCACACACATATACATCTCCAACCCAGAAGCTCCCAGGAGTGAGACCAGGCAGGACACCCCCTCTCCTCCCCAACCCCTGACTCCACAGTTCCCAGGAATGGGCCAGGCAACCAGTTTGCGGTTCCTCCACCCCACACTTTACTGTGCAAGTAACTCTGCTTGCAGCCTAGCAGAGTCTGGGCCAGGGAACTGCCCACTGGCTGGGCTCGCTGGAGAAAATTGAAGTATAAGTCCCACATTGGTGGGAACACACCCGCATGTTCCTGGCTCCTGCTTTAGGGTATATTTACCATTTAGGGCTGGGATGCTGGGGCAGCTTCCCAAATCTAGGAAATATGGTTACCCTAACTCAGGGGCAAGCAATTATTTCGGCCAGAGGGCCACTTAGTGAGTTTTGGCAAGCTAATGAGGGCTGCATTGGTAGCCCCACCACTTGACAGCTGCCCCACCCCCTTGTCACCATCTTGGGACCAGAGAGTGGAGGGGTATGTGTGTATGGTGGGGGTGCATGTGGTGTGTGTGTATGGTGGGCAGGTGTGTGGGGGGTGTGTGTGTGGTGCAGACTGTGAGGTATGTGGGGGGTGTGAGTGTGTGTGGTAGAATGTGGAGGGGGTTGTATATACATGGGAGGTTGTGGGGGCAGGGTGTGAAGGAGGTTGGGGGGTGTGGGGATCTCCCCACATTTGCCCCATGGTGCAGCAGTTGGCAGGGCACTCAGCGCAGCAGGGAGGGAAGCCTCAGGTGCTGGAGCCAGGTGCCTTCCCTGCCTGGGCTGTGCAGCACCAGAGAGAAGCCCTGTGGGCTGGAGCCCATTGCTGTGCTGGGCAGGTGTGTCCGCTGCACGTGAATGACGGGGAACGCCAGTGATACAGGCAGTCTGGGGGAGACTGCACCCCTTGCCCCAACATGCTGCACTGGCTAGAGCCATGCCCCATTAGCAGCTGTACCCTGAGTGCCCCGCCTGCTGCTGCTGCTGCTGCCACCACCTATTGTGGCTGCCTGCCATGGCAGAGCGTGGGGAAGGGGGGGGGGGGGGGGGCCAAGCTGCCCACCCCAGCTCCGCACTGCTGCCACCCCGCCAAGCACTGGCTCCACGCTACTGCCAGCCCCAACCCCATGCTCTGGGGGCCCTTCCAGCTGCAGTCCCACCTCCGCTGCTTACCTACCTGCTGCCCAGAGCCAGAAGGAGACTGGGGAAGAGGAGCAAGTACCCAGGGGCTGCAGCAGCAGCAGCCCCACGCAGAAGCTGCACACTGGCCAGGCTGGGCCCCTATGCCCACAAGAATGGGAATGAGACAGTAGGGTATGTTTGGGGCTGCGTGTACA